CATTGGTCCCCATGAGGAGCAGCCGGTCCCCACAATGTTTGAAAAACATGAACACATGTGTTCAGTGTTGTTTCTCAACATAAAATGTTTTCCAGATCAGGACATGCATCTGTGCTCTGTGTTACTGCTAATGCTAAAAAATGCTGATGTTTTTTTGTTTTTCTGTCTCTGTCTTTAAAGCTGCTCCTCTAACGAAAGTCATTAAGTGCCACAAGCCTGTGGAAAGATGCTGCTTCAACTAGAGATGCACCGATCAGGGATTTCTAAAATTAATTCATATTTTCTGTGTTTTTCTTGACCCGCTAAAAAGTGTTTTTACAGATTCCAAATTTGGATTTTCAAAATCTGTTTATTTTTTTTATTCATTTAAGCTTTTGTGCCATGGATGGCCTCCCACCATGCGTTTGTTGACAGTTAACCTAACCCTTTATAGGGAAAGTCCACAAAGGCATCGAGTAGAAACCAAGCAGAACTTTTCATCTTCTTCCTTCAGGATGAAATACTTCCGGTGTTGTCAGAACATCCTTGGGTTTGTTTCAAGAAGCAGGTTTACTGAAAACTCCTTAAGTTTTCTAAACCCGAAATCGGATAAACTCTGAAGTTTTCTAAACCACTGTTTCAGTCACGGTATAAATATCAAAATGGCCACTTTAAATGTATAACTTAAAGGTGCAGTAGGAGATCTTTTCTGACGCCGTTTTTACCACCTGGCTTAAAGATCTCCACACAGCCGCTTAGCCAGCAGTGAAATAGAAGCTCTGGAAGTCAAACTAAAATAAATGGTCCCGCTACAGTAGAGAAATCAATGAATAAAACACGGTGTGTGGTCCAGTATTGGTTCCTGACATGTCAATCATGGTCGTCTGCTTGTCCCTCCCCCCTGAGACATGAACGAATCAACCCCCAGTGCTTGTGCAGAACGCCATGACTGGAAGCTAGCCAGTATTATGCTACGTTCACACCTAAAGCAGCAGGAGCAGCAAAAACGCACGTTCTGCTTCATTTTTGATACTTGCACCAGTTTAGTTCTGACGCTCTGCTAAAGCATCTGTGCTGCTCTGGCTGTGTGAAGGAAAAGCAGGTCTGATGCGCGGTGGGCGGAGCTACTCTATCCTTTCTCTGCCTGGAACAATGGCGGCTATATTAGCTGTGATCAGCGGGTAGAAAGTAGTTAGAATCTCTGTTGAAGTGAGAAAGTCCTCCTGAAAACATGGTCTGTGCAGTCAGTTCATCCAGATTACCATCCTGCCTTCAAAGATTATTTCTCTGTGGGAGCCGCTCAGACCCCCACATACCGGCGCTGCGCTGTCACTGGGAATCCCCAGCAGCAGCCCGGTCGCCTCCTTTGCGCTTTGCAGCGGCGGCAGGAAGGCATTTTTCATGCAGCTATTCCAAACTGCAGGCAGCAGGATAATAAAGGCGAACATGTTTTGCTGGCAGGTTTCTGCATCTTAAGTTAATTTAGGCGTTAATAAACTGTTTCAGAGGAGTGATCATAGCGCTCTGCATCAGCAGTGCTGCGTCTGTCCCTGCCAGCTCCCAGATCAGCAATGCACTGCTCCTGCTGCTGTAGATGCGCTGCAGACAGCATGCGTGTTCATGTGTTTTGAAGACGTGGTTTCGAGGGGTGGACTGAAGGGGGAGGCATGGTTGCGTATGTTCAAAAATATAGCTTGCTGGAACCGTTTTACCAAGATCTCCTACAGCACCTTAATTCTTACTACTTCACTCTCTAAAATTCAGTTTCTGCTAGAAAAATGTAATTTAGAAAATATATTACAGTTCAGTCTCAGAGTTTGATTTTGATCAGGAAGAATCTTATTTTAGTGATCTACAAATGGAACAACAGAGAGGAGAATGCTTTGAATAAATGTAAAAACGGCCTGCCATAGAGCAACTCGAGCAACAATCTCCTTCACCATCTTCCCCTCCTTTGCAGATGTAGCACTGTTTCTTTGTCTTCAACATATTCTCTATTTTTTTCATTCTGTATTAAAATCTCTAGTTCCAATGGGGTGAAATAGGCACTCTCTGTTGCCGTGGTGATTAATTGAATCGGTGCTATACTGATAACGGCTTTTCATACTTGTTACACACGGGCTAAACTAAGTGGCTCTACTTAAGAGTTGATTGAACTAATTCACAGCAGCCGCTGTGAAACCGAAAACTTGGAGTTCACTACTTTAGGCTAGATCAATTTAGAGTTGCAGATTTGAATCTGAGTTTGTTAAACCTGCTTCTTGAAATGGACCCCTGGTGGTGTCTGCTAATTAAGAAATAATATTATTCCTAATTTTGTAGAGACTGTTGTCAGTGGAATAAACCATCCAGTTTACGACAGCTGTAGATTTCTCGGTGCATCCCTGGTCAGTACTAGTGATGCCATATAAGACTGTATTTTAACATACATGACAGTTTTTTTATTGTTTTCATGTAATATATATGTTAACTAATGCTCCTCCTGTTTCTCTTGAAAAAAAAAGCATTAATAAAGAAAATAAACTCCAAACGGTTTAGGTTTCTCAGAAAACTACCATTTATTATAAAAATGTAAAGACAAAAAAAATAAATACTGTCCCCTTTTTTTTCCAACAGTGGAGCGTAGCTCAGAGTGAAACGCAGAGTAAGATCTTTCAGCACGAAGAATGATTTTCCTGAAAAAAGTGCGATGCAAAGAGTGCAAATATAAAAGATGTATGTTATAACAATCAGAGAGCGCTGGTAGGAGCGGGTTTAATTCTGACAGCTGTGCAGCTTCTCCGTTTTAGATCGAAGAGTTTTCAAGATGTCTTGAAGCTTGGCGTCGAGTCCCTCAAGCTTCGTAGACTTCTGGAGGATCTCTTCCTGGAGTCTTCTGAGAGAGTCTGCTTTTCCTAAAAAAAAAACCCAGCAGGGATGATGTCACAGATTGAGAATGAATTATACTTTCTAAATGATATTTCTGTCATTATGGCACAAAAGTGAAAACATTTACAGCATCAATCTGCAACTTAAAAGATAAGAATTGACAAACAGAAGTTTGTCACAGTTCATGATAGTAAAGGAATAAAATTTCCTTTGTTACCTTGCAGGGAATCTGTCATATTCTGCGTGGTGTTGGCCAGATCTACAGCTTTCTCCTGCAGTTTCTCCAGTTTATCTCCCACAGGGTCCGTCTCTCCAGTCCCTCCAGTATCTGCTTTGTCTTTAAGTTGACCAACCTTATCCTCCAAATCTTTCAGATCCTACAAATAAACAAACATCCATCAGTAAATATATAAGAACATTTATCCTCATTCTCGAGGATGGAAGAGTGATTTCTTCTGATCCTAAATGCAGATGATTTCCTCCTGATTTGGTGCTCTGTGGGGCAGAGAGTGAGGAAACCACATGGGATCAGCGTTCTGTCTCCCATTTGAGGGAAGAGATTCAAACTTGAGCCTCTTTCCACAGAAAATATGTTTTTCAAAGATGGGTCGACCCGCTAACAATTGGCATTTGGGTCCCTTCCCATTGGCAAAAAAAGCTGGGTCCTCTGTTTATGTGTGGTTAGCAGGTATTAGCCTTTTATAAGACAAAATGTCTTATAAAAGGCTAATACCCTCCAGTGTCCACCATATTGGATCAGTCCATTTGCTGCACATGTTCAGAAAGGTCCAAACAGACAGCAGCAAACCATTTGAAAACAAACCATGCAAAGAGCAGTGT